CTTTAAAAAAAAGAAAGAAAAAATTACCCGATTTGCTGACCCTTACTTATGGCGTCGCGACCCTTAGTTCTGGAGCAAAATTTCCCGGTCATGAAGAAAAAATTGGGTTTTAGGCCTAAGTGTTATTTTTTAAAATGATTTTTCTAATGAAAACAGATGTTTTGAGCTTTAGTTATTATTAGCAGCCATAATCCAATTCCTTTATTTGACTGCTATGATATTTAAAAAATAGGCTACCCTTGCAAAGTTAAAAAATAACCGGACGGACATTTTGAAAATTCTCCGTAACTTTTTTTAATTTTTGACATATCAAAATAGAAGTTATACAGAAATGTGGTTTGTGGTATTTAAATCCACAAATCAGTTTTCACTATACAAATTTTAATTGTTAAAGTGAGAATACATTATTTATACTTATGAGCAGACATTTCCCTAAAACTAAATAATTATCATGGAATATTATCTATGTATCAATAATAAGGTTACTACAGGATTTAAATAGATTGATCACAGTATATTTTGTGACAAAATTATCAATGCTTGTTTGTCTCTCTTTCTTGTCACGAGAGGAAAGACAGACAAACATGGACCTATGGGTTTTGGCTCAGGTTCCTCAGTAATATCCAGTTGTGTTGCAACGATTTACTGTAATCAATCTTTAAGTCTGCTTTTTCACTAGGCTGGAGACGCTAGTCAGCCACTAGATCTGTGCAAAATCACATTGTGAAGCACTTTACGTTTACACTATCAGGTCGCAGCGACCCACCTCGGCAGTAGCGACCCGGTCTTGAGAAGTTGTAATTTGTTTGACAGGTACACAGGTCTAACTTATGTTTGTCAGTCTTTCCTCTTGTCGATTGATTACAGTAAATCGTTGCAACACAACTAACTGGAAAAGACTGACGAACCTGAACCAAAACCCATTGGTCCATGTTTGCTTGTCTTTCCTCTTGGGACAAGAGAGAGACATGTCAAACAAGCATGTATAATTTTGTTACACAATTTACTGTGATCAATCTATTTAAATCCTGTAGTAACCTTATTATTGAAACTATACATAATATTCCATGATATTTATTTAGTTTTGAGGAATGTCTTCTCATAAGTATAAATAGTGTATTCTCACTTTAACAATTTAAATATTTATAGTGAAAACTGATTTGTGGATTTAAATAACTCTGTTAACTTGAATAAAGTTGTTTACTTGCTAGATTTAGTTTATTTTATAGCAAAATATGACATACACAATTCAAATATAGGCAGATATTTTTAATTTTAATCATATAATTAATAGACTCTTATTTAATGATACATTTAGGTTAGTACTTGCTGTATGCGCCAAAATGCTTGGAAACAGTGAACCATAGTAAAGTATTTTTATCATAACTGCTGATCCCATTATCATCCCATTTTGAAATTTTTATAATGTACTTACTAGATTACATTCTTTAACATATGTAATTTTCAAATTTTTCAAAAAACACTATCTTAAAATTTTTTTCAAAAACATATTTTGAAATTTTCAAAAAAAATTAATTTTTACCAAAGTAGGTTGAGTTTGGTATCAGATTAAAGGCATTTGAATCCTCTTTAAAATGAGCCATTGTACAACTTGATAGGACCAATAGAACTCATCCTAGACAACATTTTAGATTTGCGCGCACGGTAAAAAACGCCAATTTTTACCATTTTCAAATATTTATATCATAAAAACTACAAAAGATAGATTTTTTTTAAAAGCATATTTGGATTCAGGACTCAAAATACTACAAGTATGCAAAATTTCATCAAAATCCAAGATGGTCAGGTTGAAAATAATTTTTTTTGGTTGATTTCATATGGAATGACCCCAACGGTTACCATTTTACGTAGGCCTATTTAGCAGCCTGCTAAATATCATTCCCTTCTTTTGGGACGTGCATTTCGAAAGAACATTAGACAAACTGAAAAGCCTAACTCTACACTTCATCAATCTTATCCTATTATTTTATTTGAGGTTGGGTTGTTCGTCAATGATTGTTGTTGATAAATAAATGTGGTATTTTTTAGGTCTGTTTACATTTTGTGCGTGGTAACTAAAGCTCAATTTTCTCTTTATTTAGGCAAGCAATGCGGTTTTAAGTCAATGTAAACTTAACATAATTTTTATTGTTACTACCGTATCTTCATCTTTTACCCAAAAGTAATTGGTGTCATACTTTCAAAATAAAAATTATACATTTAGACAAACTGACCTAAATACAAAAAAACATATATTTACAAAATTGGCATGTGGATAGGCGGATCAGTCAGAAAATACTGGGAAAATGTCTTTATAAAACTCTTTTAGGGGAATAGTAGGTTCTTGACTTGAGTAGAGGGACCAGCTTCTTAAAGAAAAGCTTAGGCTACACTCAAGCTGTTTGATAGAGTTGGGCAGCTTGTTATGGATTTGAATTGCTCCCGTGTTGTAACTCTTCTGGGATCTTGTCAGCCTAACCCTCGGCACATCAAGCAACCCGCGCTGCCTAGTCTGGTGGTCATGAACCGCTGAACGATGTTGAAACTTGTCGCAAAGGTCATGGATCATCAGTGAGCATACGAGGATTAATAGCTATAAACCGTGAATATCCCCAGCCTTGCAAAGATGGGTTTGCAGTGGGCAAGGTGGTCACTAAATGTAATATTTCTTACAGCACGTTTCTGGAACACTAATATGTCTTCAACATCAACGGCATGACCCCAAAGTAGTAGGCCATAGTTTACATGACAGTGGAACATGGCATGATGTTAAGCAGGTACTATTCAGTAATAAAATTTCACAGCTTGAGCAGAAGACAGCACATCCTAGAAAGTTTGCTGCTAATGTCGCCTATGTGATTGTTCCACGCCAATTTCCTGTCCAGATGGAATCCAAGTAGCTTAACTGGTTCATTAGGTGGGACATTTCTTGCCAGACTGCAGACCAATGTCTGGGTTTTTTCCTGGTTGAGCTGAAACCCATTTTCTTCAAACCAGGATAAAACCTATAACACCTATTTGCTAGAAGTTACACGCTTCTAGGCAATTGTGGGATATTATTGTTGGTAAGATATTATCTTTTTGCAAATGTCATAATTTCCATTGATTGAGTCACCAGAGCAGCCCGTTAGTACTTTGTCATAGTGCTGAGTTGTCTTCTGACAATAATTTGTTGTTAGCAGCTGCGTTAGTTGTTAGGTATTGTTGCTGCAGGAAAATGACTGGAAGTAAACAAGGATTTTATGGATTTGCCTCAGTTTGTAAAGCTGTATGTGTAGGTATCGTGCTACTGACCTACCAATATTTAATAATTTTATTCTGGATGATGCTCACATAGGCTTCTAAACCTGAAACAACTAATTGTTGGGTTGGAAAATTGTTTTTGAAGACCAATAGATTTGGAAAAATTACGTAAAAAGATTGGACCACTTCAAATCCATTGGGACGGTGGCGTTGTCCAGTAATCCAGCTATAGGAGGTAACGAATTGTGGATATTTATAGAGATGCACTGTGCGATACTCCCTGGTGTGGACTAACGTCCGCACTAGTGAGTACTACGACTATCTGCAGTTCTATCCTGATAATTAGACTAATTCTTTAATACCAAGGAAAAAATGTGGTTCGGATTCCACTATAAAACTGTAGGTCCTTGGTTGCCATTAGCTGTTTGGGCTATTGATTAACAGCTGTGTCAAAGGAATATGTCGGCCTTAGTCACTAACAAGACTACAAGATCGCGCCACTCATACTTCACTCATATTTGGGTTAAAATACGCAGATAATGGCAGATAATCTTAAATAATTGATAATTCTATTTAAATAGAAATACATAGGTCATAGGTTTGTCATTTAACTTGCAATGTCAATGGAGAATTAGGAAAGCGCTGAGAATGTCCAAAGACTTCAGAAAATGCTTTCCCAAACAGGTTTCTGTGCAAAAGTTAACTTAAACATCCCTTTAAAAAAGCTTAATATTCACTTAAGGTTAGCCCATTTTAAATAATTATTATTTACTGAATAAACATCAATAGATTTTCTCAGTACGGTATATAATCTATTGTATGTACTTAGTTTCACTTACTAAAGTTGACTTAAAACATCAAACCATGAATTATAAATAAAGATGTCAATATTCAAATATTTTGTTTTTAAATTTAAAAAAAAGTTTACATTTAAATAAACCTTAAGCACAGACTTAAGTAAAAAGTTAAGTCAATCGTAATCTATATACCTCTCTTGGTTTTTACATTGAATTGTTGTCTGGCTTTCAGCCCAAATTAGGAAAGTGGCTAACAATTATGCGGAGAGGTTTTGCCACATCCAGCAAACAAACAACTTAGATTTACTGACAACCTGTTAAGACTAATGGGAGGTTTTTTACACTTTATGATTGCGATCACAGTCACAGTCATCAGAGACAGAGTCTTCACCTGTCTTAAATATTTCTAGGGACTTAAAACTTCCTCTGTTTAGATGTACTGTTAGGGTGAATATACTACAGGGTGTCCTGGAACTCTGTACCAATATTTTAGGACATTGTTCCTGAGTAAGAAAAATATCTAATATTTAAATTGTACGGGAGTCCTTAGTTACTCACACAGTCGCCATTTAGTTTTTTCACTTTTTTCCAAATTTAGTTTCCTAAATAACTCAAAAACCGTTGATTTTACAAAAGTTTTAAATGGTCACCATTTGTTTTATGAATTTGAAAAATTTGCATAATTTTTTTTTAGGTTTGTTTAGTTGACATAAATGTTTGCGCAAATTTTTAATTTCGTATCTTTGACCACTTTTTAGAAAGAAAAAAACTACTGAATAAAACGAAATAGTGGCTGTGTGAGTAACTAAGGACATCCGGACAATTTAAATATGATATTTAGATAATATGTTTCTCAGGAACAATGCCCTAAAATATTGGTAGTTGAATGATAGTTATGTACTTAAAAACATAATAATTCATCCCATTTTTAAGCACTGTTATTTCAGCTTACTAACTTACCTTCTTGTTCGCCAAATAACCACCATTTTCTTTTACAGTTTCATCAAGTTTCTTGAAGTAAAATGGGAGCGTCTCTTTAATGTAGGTTTCTGTTCCTGATTTCTTCTTCTCTGCATCAGTTTCCCTCCAAGCGGCATAAATAGCTGGAACATGAAAACATTTAATATAAAATGGATAAATGAAAGATTTAACAGAAGACTGATGCTATAGTTGAAGAAGTTGGTGAAATGAATAAAAATGAGAATAAATAAAAACTGAAAATGGCAAAGTTGGAAAATTATCATCTGAAAAAACTCAAGACTGTCAGAGATTTTGGGTTTTGATGCAAGTTAGAATCTTACTGACGTGGCTCTTGGTACCCAAGGAGGTACTTCACCTCGCCAACACACTGCCTCCAGATTTCTTGATCTATTGCTTCCTCCCCTCTTCTTCCCATTCTTCCAAGGTATCTTCTTACTTGATCTTTGCATCTAAATTGGGCCTTCCAGAAGTTCTTCTACTCTCAGGGTTGTTGAAAAAGGTGTTTTTCACTTAGGAGGCATCATTCAGAACTAAATTTAAATTATTAGCTGCACTTTTGACAGAAGACTGATGGCTATAGTTGAAGTAGAAGTAGTTGGTGAAATGAATAAAAATGAGATTAAATAAAAATTGAAAATTGCAAAGTTGGAAAATTATCAACTGAAAAAACTCAGACTTAGAGATTTTTGGTTTTGCTGCAAGTAAGAATCTTACTGACGTGGCTCTTGGTACCCAAGGAGGTACTTCGCCTCGCCAACACACTGCCTCCAGATTTCTTGATCTATTGCTTCCTCCTCTCTTCTTCCCATTCTTCCAAGGTCTCTTCTTACTTGATCTTTCCATCTCAACTTGAGCCTTCCAGGAGTTCTTCTACTCTTGGGGTTGTTGAAAAGTTGTTCACTTAGGAGGCATCATTCAGAACTAAATTTAAATTATTAGCTGCAAAATGAATGTACTTTGCTGTTTCTTGTTTTCTTTCAATCCTAGATTTTACCCCTTGATACACTCCTGACATATTCACAGCCCTGTCCTTTGCATTTTGACAACACCAAATTTTTCTCCTCAAGACTGTGTATTTTTTTCTTTTTCTAAGCCTTGTCCAGTTTGGTCGCTTACTTCTCTAAAGCCTTTCATTGATTTCTGAACTAGTAGGCCTTCCGGACTCATCCTTAGATATTGACACATATCTGATTATTTGACTCAGTTGATCCGTTTTGGTGATATCTTGAGTAGTATCCATAATAATAGAAAAAAAACTGAGCAAATTAATTTCTTTTAAAATTGTGTTTTGGACTGTTGTTGATAGAAGATTTATCAACTCATTTTGGATTGCCGGACTCATATACTTATTACTTTATTTAGGTACATTTACTATTTGTTCTTGCACAAGATCGTATTTACTCAATAAATCAATGACTGCCAAAAAGTTACCACTGTTGGGTTTGCCTACAACTTCTGTATGACCTCTAAAGGACAAGTTAGAACCTGCCAGAGTAAGAGTGACATTGACAATTCGATCTAACATACTAACCCATTTATTGGTTTCCTGTTTTCAGCTCTGATTTCATACCGGCGTTGTCCATCCGATACACAACATGTGTTCAAATGCATGGCGCTTTTTTCATGTGTATCAATTTTTTTTTAGGCCTTTCCAATCTTGTACTCCCTCGTCTGTCCACGGAGACAGCAATGAACCCTTTCTTTCGCTAAACAACCAGCAAGACAGTAAACTGACTAAAGGCAGTAAACTGTGTAATTTTTCTGTGAATAGCAAAGCCATTCCCTTGAAATTTTAAGTCCAGTTTTTGTTTGAGTTTCATAATATTGTTATAGAAAAAGATCTGATATCTTGGTTATGGGAAAAGGACCGCGAGGTTTGCAGGGACCATTATTATTATGAATTTTTTATCTCGTTCGTTATTTTGTTTCCAAAGTGTCTACGGTCTGTTGGATATTCCTTCTCAAAACTTATCCAATCATGCAACGTTTTGACCGACAAATGGTTACAACAAGAACTGTCACTGTCAATTGGTTCAATTAGATTGTTTTTATTCCCGTGTTCACTAATTCCTGATTCTGAGTCAATATTTACCGTTGTTTCTATTTTATTATTTTATTTATTTATCTCTTTTTAGCGTCAAAATTATCATGTGTTTCCTCAGTAACATAAAAAGTTTCTTCACTTACCACAACATCTTTTTCAATCAGAGTGTCTTGATGTTCTGATGTAGATGGAAAATCACTGACAAGATTTAAAAAATATATATAGGATTTTGGGATGCCTTTGCACTTGTGCCGCATCAACTTGCTGTTTCTGGGCTCTCCTTTTTCGTTTTCCTGCACCACTTAAATGTTCATAACGTTTCAAAATGAAAAAGTTTATATCTCATACTGTAATCACAAAGTCCATCACATTACACACTCAAATAATAGATGTAAACTAGGGGGCAACGTGCACAGAGCAAATTGTTGTCAATATATGCAATGACCCACATTACAGTACAGGCAGAACCAAACAAAGCCTCTCACGACAGGCACCGCTGATGAGTCAACCGCATGGTCTCTATCAAAATCAAGTGATCTACAGTCAGCTGAGTTACACGTGAGCGGGTAGTGGTGGAGGAGGGAGCGGCTGGCGTGTGTCGCCCCGGCAGCAGGCGCACAGCTCCTAACATGAAGCAACACAACCACACGGACAATACACATCATCGGGTGATAGTGGTGGGTGGTGGCGTTTCGTTAACAATATTGTTAATTAAAAGTTAAAACTTGAGTAAATTTGGCAGAATAAAAGTATCTACCAACACATTGTGTTAAAAAAATTGTCAGGAGAGAAAAACATCCGTGAAAGGATCGGTTTTACGGAAGGTTTTAGGAGAAAAGGGTATCTCAACCTCGCGGGCCCCTAAACGACCTGCGAGGTTCAGAAAGAAAAGAAAAAAGAAAAAAAGAATCTCACAAAAAGGAGTTAAATGATACAGAATTATACAAAATATTTACTTTTCTGCGAAACATGAAGTTAGACACAAATCACAAAGTGATGCATTAGGAGGTTTATCAAGTGTGTAGCTTTAAAGTGTTCTATAAATCCAACTGTAAAAAATATTTAAGACAGACAAGACTTTGACAAAAACATATTAAAGAAAACAAATCAATGTGTCGATATGAAACATATTACACCAACCATTGATACACTAATTGTTCAAACGGCAATAAGCTTTTCAGCATGGCTAATTGATCATATTCCACTCATTCTACGTAGCACTCTATACTGACTCTAATATAACAAACACATTCAGCTCATTAATGTTATTATAACTGTATCAGTTTATCACTAGTACAACATTTAAATTTTGCTTCAAATTCGGCCATCTCTTGGCACAAAAATTACGGATTCAAAAACAAAATTTTAAATTGCTATTCTCAGTTCAGTTTAATTTAATTACATCAACTAGATAGACTGTACAAAATAGTGTAACAGAAATTGTAACGATTGTATGTAGTGCCAATTAGAAAATACTCGGATAATTAATTTCATTACTTATTAACATATACTAGAGGTCGTCCAGTGGTCGAAACTCGACCAAAAATATATAATGTACAGACTTCTCTTTTTTCACCCCACACTGTAAATAAAACATGTGATTGGCATTTCTTCTATTTGTTTTGATTTTCTGTTTATATTTCGTTGTTATTTCGTCACCAGCATGACAACCCATAAAGCCCATGTTAATTTTATTCAAATTTCAAATTCATTTTTTGTGCTTATTTCTGAGCCTATTTAAATTTTTAAATGGTTTCTGCACACCTACAGAAAAATATCTTTCTAACGGTATGCGTAGATTTTCCCTGCGATGCACACGAGCTGAGAAAAAAGGTTTTAAAGAAACATGCTTGCCTATTAATATATAGATAGATAGATTGTAGACTGCTGGATAGTTAACCAATAGAAATTGTAAGAGCCATGTTTTTCTGTAGGAGAATAGTTAGTTCACTATGAACATGGATTTATTGTAAACATTTTTTGTATCAACTTTTTTTCTTTTTACCATTCCAGAAGTCAGGTTTAATGAGAAAAGGTTTTTTAGATCTGTTCAAACAATATGATAGGAATGGTGATTTTACTGAGAAGCTTAAAGGATTGGCACATGCAGAATTTTCTGAGCAACGGACAGTTTATTTGCCGAATCACAAATAATGTGGATGGGTGTTGGTGTACCTACTCATCATTTGGGGGACGTTATTGTTTGTCGTTTCTCACTCCAAGTCAGTCTTTTGCCAACATCAAACCAAATAACAGACTGCTCCGAATGTGTGGGTATCTCAGTTTGGAAATCGGCAAATACCAAGACAACTAGTTTTCCACAAGTAAATATTCAGCTCTCAATGAATGCCGCATTCATTGTATGTGTTCCAGTCATAAGAAAATAGAATTGGTGTGTTCAGAAAATTAAGGATTTACTATCACTGGTTCCCTTATTTTTCATCTGGAGGAGCATTTGCTGTTTAAAGACGGTTGTTCTGTACAATTTGATCATGTTATTGTTTACAAGCTAACAAGGTGGAAAAATGAAGGAAATGTCAGTAACTATGGCATGAAGGTGGATTAGAAAAAGAATCTGTAATTAGACAAGTTCCCTATACGTTCATCACTTCCGTGTCAAAAAAACTATTTTCACTGCACGGAGAAACAATCCTTATATACCTTAGGTGGGAAGTTACTGGGAATGTATATTGATAGATCTATCTCCTGATCAATAGGAGTCAGGGTATTTGAGTTGGTGTAACACATTATGAGACAAATAATTGTATAATTGTCAGTTGTGGGCTCAGTAGATACAGTTTTTGTTATCGTATTCCTAGTGAGACCAAATATTGGATGAATAAGAATCTGTTTCAAGTCTTCACTATACAAGAGCCACCTGAAAGGGCAAATGGTATTGGCGAGCTTCAAAAATTTGTCGATTATCAAGAGACAGAGTTATTAGTAGGCAAGTCGTATTTGTAAAACCAACATCCCAACTTGCACGACAAAATTAAGGCAAGAAGTTGTGACAATACTTGCCACCAAGCATTTCGGTAATCCGTAGAGTCAGTTAAAGTCATCGAGAAGAGAGGAATCCCATTGGTGTTGACACCACAAGGGGTGTGTGGTTATTTTTTAATATTATTTACTGTATACAGTACTGTACTTATAGTAATTTATTTATCAGATTCTATTCTCGTTTTAGCGAATTTCCCATATAGGGAATAAGCTATTACCGTAGTACTCATGGTAAGACCTGGACGCGGGACCGATTTTTTTTTTTCGTTTTGAGGTCCCTAGAGGCCAAAAACACCATCCGTTCAAATTCATATATATTTATATATATATATGTGTCCGTCAGCACGATAACTCGAGCAAAAATGATCCGATTTTGATGAAATTTGGTACAAACGTGTAAACGTACGTTTATTCGAACGAGTTCGCGATCCAGCATGATCGGACCATGGGAACGGGGGTTTACGGGGGTTTTTATGGGGTAAAAATAGGTTTTTCCCATTTTTTACCCAAAAACATAAAATTTAGCAATTTCTTTCCAAACCATTTTGTAGAGCTTAAAAAAACAAATAATTTAGTATATTGAAGCGTTATTATGCGCCTAATGGTTACGGAGAAAATTCAAAAAAATTGTAAATTTAAAATTCCCATGTTATTCTTATGGAGAATAAGTAAACTGTTGTAGTTTGCTTGTTTGTGAACATATTTTGATCAAATTTGGAAAATGTTTTCATTTCTTACTAACTTATTCACATTTTACAAAAAAAAAAAAAAAAAAAAAAACAGTTTTACCCTCCCTGATGCAGCAAACCTAAGTACTTGTTAAACTAATTCTATTTAAATCAAGAATAAATGTTATATTTTTATGTAGACATTTCAGTGTAAATCCAATCAGTCAAATGGAAATTCGCTTAGTCTGCAGGTTTGCTGCGGCGGGGGTATTTAAGTTTTTGTTTCAGTTTATTGGGGGGATTGTTACTTAACTTTCAAGACGGATAAATCGCAAAAAGTTAAAGTAATACAAAAATGTATTTTTACAGAAATAATGTAGAATCTGTTTATGCCAGAGTATTTAACCATCACAGTTAGCTCAACTTGTGTTGTAATAAATGTAAAAAAAAGTTAGTAGGTAGTAGGTAATTATAAAAAATCTGTCATCACAAGATTGAATTCAAACAAAAGCAGCAAATTATACTTACGTTGTTTAACATCCTGAAGGGTGTCGGCAATGATGTCAATCTGAAGATTCTCCCAAGCATCCTTGCCGTCAAGTCCTGCCTTGGTAGCGAGGTAGCGGCTGGTAGCTACAGACTGTGGGATTTGTTTGCCATCCTCCTCCAGAACAGGCAACTTGCCAAACGGCATCGCTGCAACAAAGCATCATCATGAAATACTGTCCATCTTAAGGTTCTCACAGGTATCCTTGTCTGTCAGACCACCAATGTGCGGAGTTAGCATTTCAAGAGGGAAGAGGTTAAAGTTGTGGAATTTGGCCTGAAGCACAACTTCGCCATTAGCAAGAGAAAGGAAAAAGGCATTGGAACAAACTTCAAAACAATTAAGGTGGTAGATCTCTGTACTGTATAAGTAAAGAGGTTCCACAATAGTGTTCAAATATGGACACAAAACATTGCCAAAGGGTGGATGAAGACATTACACCCACCCATTACCCATCTTTGCATACATGAAATGAAATACAGAAGAACTGGAAGAAAATCATGGTCTTGAATTGAAAGCAGTGAAGAGTATTGCTAAGTAATACTGACTGGAATAATGATGTCGCCAAGCTTGAGGATCTCATTAAAAATAGTTTTAAGGAACTTAGGGTGTAGAGACCAGAATCCTCCGAGACACTCATTTCGTAAAAAAAGTTGCAAAAGGAATTATTACAAGCTGTAAAGAAAGGTAATAAAGTGATTCCTGGAGAACGTAGATTGCGGATAAAAATTTTTCAATGAAAAGCACAGATTGAAAGGAATTCCAAAATTCCACCAAAAAATTCACCAATAAGATCTATAGTGAATTTTCAATAAATTTTGGCGTGACAGTTATAGAAATTTATAAAAGCAACAACTGTTTAGAATTGAGTGCAATAAGTATTAACCTCAAGAACCCTCTTTACCTATTTCGGGCTTATCGATCCTCCAGGACAAGTCAAACCAGCAATTAATACTCTATCAGACATGCTATCCACACAAAGATTTTTTTAAATGGGGATTGTAAATAAAGACAGGCCAACTGATAATGCAGACAACATTTACTATGAAAGTAAACTGATAGGTTCTGCAGCTAAAAAACTCTTTAACTTTCTGCTACAATGATCACACGTCACCCAAGAAAAGAACTATCTATTGACTGCGTTTGTACAAATTTAACTGAGGAAAAATCGGTTTATAAACCAGAATTTGATTAAGAAGTTTTCTTAATCAAAACAAGAAAACCCTAGACACCTTTAAGGAAGTACTTTCAAAAGAAGAAAATTGGGAAGACTTGTATAAGGCTCCAGGGACTGATGAAGCCCACAAAATATTCCTGACAACAGTTAGAAATATGCATGCCCAAGTAGCCTAAATATAACAAAATTAAATTTTTTGGGGGCAGTTTTTTTGTTTAGATTTTCCGAAGGAAATATTTCAATATTATCACGATTGAAAAAATGATCCAATGATGCCGCGATCGCAGGACATGATTACGACGTTGTCGGAATTCTTGCGTGAACCGTTAAAGGCAATTAAATTTTAGTCCAAGAATCAATTAAAAATAAAGTAAATAATCGTGAAAATAGATTTTTACAGTGGGTTCTAAATGATTGTGTAGAAATTGTACTCACTTTGTGACCTTACATATTTTAGACCAAAATTTCTACATTTCACTTTCTCTCAACCAAATTTTGCGGATTTTTCCGCAGCCACCCTGATATAAAATCCGTGGATTAACACCTCAGAGCTAAATCATCTTGCAGATGTTTGGTTCATCTTTGAGTTACTACCAATCCTCCCAACATAATTTTTGACACAAAGTTAGCATAATTCAACTATAGTCTCTCGTTGCTCCATCACCCTTCTGACCTTGGACCCATCATTACATCATTACACCTCGCATCCAGCGCACTGCAACATTCCCATGGGTTCTCTTGCGTAACTCGGCCTTCATTGTACCACAAGCATCTACCAACCAACACTTAAAACGTCTTGACTGAAGAAAATAATCTGCTGAGTCATAGTCTCTAGTCACAGTTGTGCAGTTTGAATTTCCATTCGATCATTTTGGGTTTAGTTGTTGTGTACCTACTGAACAATTTCAAATACATAATTTGTTGTTGTAGAGAAGAGAACTAAGAAATGATCAACGGATATGCTTTTGATTTCAGTATTGAAGTTAATGTGCGTAGATCGACCTTTTGTTAAGCGTAAATCGGCGTTCCTTAATTTTTTTGGAATTTTTCAACAAACAAGTGATACTTAAGAAAACTGAACCATACATCTAGGAACTATTATTTCGTATGTATATATGGTGGCTTATTAAAATGCTTGGACCTCTAAGGCCGAAAAGGGAATAGTTTGACAAATGTATACATTTTTGAGATGACAACAGAATTGAGAGGCTCGTTGCAGAATTAATTGTTGAAATGCAAATAGCCCATACAAATTCGGATTTCTCTCTTGAAACGTTTTCGTCCCATTAGGGATTAGAACAAAATAAAAACAAGTTTTGGTCGCTAGAAAAAAAATGCCAAATGAACGTTTGCATGTTTAAGTGTTTGCACAGTAAAAGAAAAATCAAGACTTCAAGAAAATAACTCTTAAATTTACCAAAATTTGCATCAGAATTAATTTGCCGTGTTCAATTTGATTATCGCATTAACCAATGCCTGTTTAGTCTTTACTTTAACGAGGTGTTAGCCCGTCCTACGTACGGAAATTCAGTAGTCAGTTAAAACCAAGTACAATTCAGATCAGCTAGTTTACACATATAAAGACAAAGTTTCTTGCGGTTTTAAGTGAAAAATCATATTGTAAACAAATGTTGTGTGACCAAATATGTTTTTATTCCATCATAGGCCTATACGATATGCATTTTAAATCCGATAATTTTACAATAACAGCAATTCTGCAATTTTTACGATGTGAAAAGCGTTGAAGTGAGATTTGCAGCCGATTCGCACAGACGCACACTGTATATGCGTATAGACTTATATATAGTGTATAGACTTAGTCAACGATACCACCTTCCATAGCATACCTGCCTCTTCCATAGTTATTATCACCACAATACAACTACTATACACAATTTCCAGTAGGTCTGAATAGAAAAGACCTAAAATAAAACTATAATCTATATATATAAAATCCAATGTATGTTTGTATATTTGTATGTTTGTATATTTGTATGTTTGTCCTTTATGGACTCGAAAACCGCTCGACAGATTGTAATGAAACTTTCAGGCATTATTAAGCATTATTCAAGGATGGTTTGTGTGAAGTTTGGTGCAGACCCGTCAATAGGGCTCCGCCCCAGTGGCTCTGGAGTTTCCCATGTTAACCTTATGAGTACTCATATTTAAATGGAATTAACGAATCTTAACAGCTGGTGCAACTAAACAATTTGATTCTGTGATGTTCAAGAGCATTAAAAAGTTAATAGGTTTACCAACAGGGTGCAGCACTATTATTTTTTTTAATTTATGACAACAGCTAATTTGCAACCAAAAGGTGAGTGAGCGTAGCGAACGAACTTCAACCTCGAGGCGAGTTAGCGTAGCGAACGAGCTAACCTGAAGGCAAGTGAGCGCAGCGAACGAGCTCCAACCTAAAGGTGAGTGAGCGTAGCGAACGAACTTCAACCAGGACGTGATTGAACCATGCGAACGAGCTCATCTTGAATATGAAAATGAACGAGCATGTGACATAAAACCACAATAGGACAGGACGACGTCTGTCGGGCCAGCTAGTATCCAATAAAATTCACAGTACACATAAATCGTCACACCTATCCTTTATATCAATTTCACTGCATTAATTGCTAAATAAATAAGTGTAAACAAAGAAAATTAAAAACAAAAGCCAATATAATGGTCAATCAGCAAACAACTAACAATGGTTTCGATGGTTTGCATTATAAAAAATTAGCGACAGATATTTAACTAGAAATATTTCTTCAACACAATCTTCCAGAATCTCGTCAAAGTGATGAAGTCTAGGGTTCAATTTACTCCAATCGCCAGTGGATTTTATCATTGTGAGAATGCCGTGACCCTCAAGACTAAGCCTGAAGTAATGTGTAAAGTTCTTCGTAGCCAGATCCTAGCGTTCTGGGACATGAAGGATAAGGGTGGGAAAACTGTATCAGCAACAAACACATATTTTCAAAAATAAGATTTTTTTTTGAAATAACATAAGTTACAAAAACGTTTGATTCATAATTTATACAGCAACAGCAACCATTTTGTTCAGAATTTAAAGGATTATAACATTGTTCGGATCATTTTCAAGAAATTTTTATTTATTTTATTTTATTGGAAAATTACCATTAAAAATCTAAATTTCCAAAAATATAAAAAAATAAAAATAAAACACATGGGAATACTATGGATTAGTACAAACATACCATATTTTTATCAAAATTGACTACATGTGTAGTCTGTGTCTATGTATATACACACACACACACACACACACACTTATACATAACTTTAAAAACCACTGTGTTCAGGGGGCCCAAACTGATACATCCACTCAAACTCGAAAGTTTTTGAGAAAACAATACTTTCTCCACACACTAATGTATGGGGGAAAAAGTAAAAAAAAACTTACAAGGTTTTAGGGCTGTCCACTGTTCACTTCCTAAGGGCAGCCTAACGTCCTCCCAGTCAGCGTCCATGTACGACAACATGAAACGGAGAGTCTCGGCAAGACCCTTGATGTCAAAGTAGTACAACTTGTACTTGGGCGCCATCTTTCCTGAAAGATACTAATGTTAGTTGAAGCATAAAGTTGGAATTAGCATTGATTAACTCTCTGGAACCCTGTATATTTGTTCCTTAGGTCAAAACGATGCAAAAACCACAAGGGTCTAAAATGCCAAGTTTTTTTGTCTGTATTTTTGGAAATTGAACTACAACTTTTGAACCCTATTTTTTTAACAATTATTGTCTTAAAACTTAGAACATAAGTGGAGAGTAACAAGTTTTACCAATTCAAAATGGTAGGCAATTAAAGGTTTGGATCTTAAATATCTTAGAAATTAGTTATTTTAGTTACAAATATTAAGTATAACTTTTTATGAAACTGTATGACTAATCCAACGATGCATTAATGTTAAAATCAGTTCATAAACAGCTGATATTCTAATTTGTGTACGATCGTGGTTCGCCTGGATTTATATTTAACCAACAACAATGGTAATAAAACGTCAATATATGCACAGTCTCATAAACCTTTCTATATAATTAGTATAACGAATTTACAATTTTAGGACAAACAAAATACCACATTGTGTTCCAAAATGAAGAGTAAATAACTGAATTATTAGATGATTATCTAATAATTTGACTGTAAACGGCTGATTGTAATTCGTAAAGCAATTTAAGTAATTATAAATCAGCTGTTTTCACTAATTTGTTTTCGTTATGTAAACAGCTGTGTCAAGTTCATTATTAAGTTTTTATTTGCAGGGGACTCTGCACAATATCTCTGTTTAATAAGTTTAGTTTCCCCAGTATCAATAACATGTTTGACTTGATCTATACGTCTCAGAATGTTTCCATTAGTTCCTAGATATTCCTCAATTAATTTCTGCAGTTTCTAGGATTGGTCACAGTTAAGATATGAAGTTTGAAGACCTTCTTTAGTTCCCAAACAATTTATATGAGGAGAAAATTCCAAGGTTTTATCAGACTTGTTTATAACACTCTGCAATCGTTTCCAGAAATCAATTCCTAGAATTAGGCCTTGGTTCAACATAGGAACAACAATTACAGAATTTCTAGTTCTTCCTTTCAAAGATAAAGGAACAACCATTTAGGTACCTTTGATTCTATGTTTCTTCCCATCAGCAGTTTTTACATTGGATAATCCATTTACTTTTTCTCCGTAAGAATAACATATCGATTTGAAATGTTAAGTTTTTATTTTATTTGTAACCTTTAATAACTAAAATGACGCTTATTTTTTAAGCTATACACGATGGTTTTAATAAAAATTTGGTTGTTCCACGTTTTACAATCAAGGGAATACTATTTTCGGATCGCGGACCACATAAAGGTTTTCCACTGTGTACTATTAAATTCAAAAACAGAAAGCTTTTGACAAAATGAAAGTGCTATAGCATTAACAATATGTGGATAAAGATTACACAAAATCCGGCTGTCCAGATAATTTCTGTTGTGTAACTCAAATGTAAAGTTGAAATCGTTTCTCTAATGAATAATTTACATAAAGCTTAATAAAGTCTTAATGCATGTTTGCAGCGTCTAATTATCCGACCAAATAAGACTTCCGAGTCATTAATATAACTTAAATATTATCATTGGCTTAAAAATATCAATGAACTTATTTTAACATTGAACAACAACTCTTGTATTTATGACCAATTTATATTATATAACGATAATTAAAAAAGTCTATGGAAGTTGTATAATTTGATATGTTAAATATTATATTTTCTTAGTGAGATATACCTCTTAACATAATACAATTTTCTTTAAATTATTCAGATATAATAGAATACTCATGATTACATAATCTCAACATTGGCTATTTTAACATTAGGCCATACTTTAACAAAATCAAATTTTTATACAATATTTTAAACATAATTCTTTCTAGGGTAATTTGAAAATAAGGTCAGGTTCTTAAAAACACTCTAATTTACAATTATAAGTCAAGTACTAGAATTTCAGTACAATCTTTACTGCGTTTCGGATGTATTTACATATTCTGCTTTATTAAGAGGAATATCTCACAAAGAAAATTTATTAAAAAGCTTTTTTGTTCAAGTATGGCCTAATGGTAAAAAAGCCAATCTTGATATTATGTCAAAATATTCTATTTTATCTTTATCTTATTACTTTTGAGAGTGATATTGTGTGAAGAGGTATATCTCACTAAGAAAATATAATATTTGACACATCACATTATACAACCACCATAAAATGTTCATAAATGAAAGAATTGTCCAATGTTAAAATAAGTTCATTTATATTTGTAATCCAAAAATTATTGTATATTCAATCATCGAATTACAAAATTGGTTTATTTTATTCACGTATTCTATCAAAATTTGATTTAGATTGTTCCTTTGGTAACAGATTGTTTACCACTAAATACCAACTATTGTAAGGTTATGTTCATTTTGGCCACGATCTTGAGACTGGACCTATTTTCTCTAATCTGGGATATTCAGACCGGTAGATTAAAAACCAGGCTCCTGTCCAAATGGGCCGAAATTCATTTTCCTCGGGAATGGAATCCTCCTTAATTTAAGTGAAACTAGGTGGCGCCCTGCGACTTCAAGGTGAACTGGATATGACTAAGCGTAATTAGGAACACTCTCGGCCCAAACCTATTGAACTGTGGCAAATTTAACTCGTGTTAGAGGGATACAACTGCAAGATGCTATCTATTACTATGAGTTAATGCCACGAACCTCTTCTTGTGAAGTCCTCCTCTTTAAACATTTAGCCGGGTTTAACGGTTAATCATAGCCTGGTCTAATACAAGGCTGCGGCATAGTTTGGCAACGTCGCACCGGCCGATTGCCGTGGTTATAACAGAACATAAACATTGCGCAGACGCTCCGTTGTGAATGCAACAGCTGTTTTCTGTAGGCCGGGATTGCGGTGTTGCCACTTTGTCTCGTCGCTGCCTTGTATTAGTGGAGGCTATGGTTAAATGTGTCAAACATGTTGTCCTACAGTTTAATTTGTAAATCAATGTTCCAAGTGCTTAATGATTCCACCCTGACTAGCTTGAGGTTCTCGCAAAGTTTTAAAGCTCACTGCTACTATCTTGCCTGAAAGGGTGATAACTATGTCGTGTTCTTACTCGTGCTAAAAATTTAGTTTGGTTTACGTATATTGCCGTATAGTTGGTTGCCTATGAAGCTTATTGTTAAATATTATTTATTTTAAACTTGCTGGCTTTTATGTGATGCATATGCTTCCGAACAAATTTCATGTTGTTTTAATGTTTTTTTTTTAATTTGTTCTCACAGATAAATTTATACACGTTTGCAATTACATGAAATATTATAGCAAACGTATGAGTTACAAAACACCTACAGTATTTAACACTCGAATGTATCAAATACTGTACACTTACACTGTGTACTTACATTATTGGGTTATTAGGAAAAACAAACGTTCCGGTTAATTATAAAACATGTATTGGAAAAATCTCCGTTTTAACATTGTACGGAGTCGCAGATTAATCATTACATCAGATTTGCTGAAAGTTTTATCCACGTGTGATTAATGTTATTGCACTTTCATTTCGCCTAAAGCTTTATGTTTTATAATTTAACTAATCACTCAGTGGAAAACGTAAGTGGTCTGCGTTTTGAAAATAGCATTCCCTTATATATTTCTAAAACAGGGATTACCAAATTTTTATTAAAATCTTGTTGAGCTTAAACAAATATTTTTGTACATTATCGCTTCATTGTAGATATCCAAGGTAACTGAGAAAAAAAACTGCTGCTGGTTTATTAATATATTTTAATAAAATTCGTCAAATTCATCTACCTCATCGTATACTATCTAAAAAAACGTTTCTGTAACAGCAAACCTAGGTGCTCATTGAATATAATGTTACTTTTAATACGGAATAGATCTGACAAGTTTATGGACATATTTTAGTAATAATTCAATCAGTCAAATGGAATTTCATTTAGTCTGCAGGTTTGCTGAGGCGCAGACGGTTGATTCAAACACTAAAACCAGCCTATATTTTCAAGCAATACAGAATTTACCGCTAAGTAGCAACCTTTGAGTTTTAATTTCACCTTGCAAACATAAACATACAAAGGTTCACTTTAAAGTTTTGCCTTGTAACCAAAACTTGTTTTTATTTTGCTCTGAGCTCTAATGGGTCGGAACATTAAGAACTTCTTTATGAAATAAATCTAAATATGTATAGGTTATTCGCACTCCAACGATTTATTCAGCAACGGTCCTTTCCAATTTTGTTGGCACAATTCCAAAATATACACATTTGTCAAACTTGTCATTTTTTGCTCAGAATTCCTAAAAATGCCAATAAAACACAAATTTGTCACAAATTACATGATTTACGTGTTTTTAGATACTTCCTTCATAATACCGGGTGTTTCAAAATGAATTTAGGGATTTTAACGCTTTATAATCTTTTGTATTACCGCCTAAAAAAAAACTTAAAAACCTCAACACTTGTCATGAGATTAATTAGTTTAATGGCTAAAATAGATGAGTAAAAATATTTTGCAATTTTTGAATAAGTAGACTGTATTTGTTTTGTTTACATAAAAGAGATATCACTTACTGTTGGTTTGATAAAGCAACTCAAAGAGTTTTACATAAAAGCCTACAAGTGTTCAAAGTAAGCACCATTCGTAACAGGACACACGTCAAGACGATAGTTTATTATGTCTATATTATGTTCTCTACATTGAAATCGGGGGTTTTCAATTTTTTTTATTTGGACGGCTTTATTAAGTATTTTCAAGACATGTATAATATTGATTTTTAGGACATGTTGTTCTTTTTCAGAGTATTCCCTTCCTCTTTTGTCGATTCCCTTGCCATTTAAAAGTTATTAGCAAAAATGTTCAGCAACCTCCAAGTTTATAGTAGTAAACAAACCGAGTTAGATTTTTTAATCTTTGTACAACTAAATCTACAGTTCTAATGGATCGATTTTGTTAGTTAAGTGTTGTTGGAAAGCTTAAACTCTTCGAGTCAATACCTAAAGGGTTATTAATCGTT